ATAATATTCTGAAATTCAGAGGAAGCATTTTTAAGCCCAAATGCCATAACATTTCATTCAAAATGTCCAAAAAGGACAATGAAAGTAGTTTTATACTTGTCTTCCTCAGTAATTTGGATCTGCCAATAACTTGACTTTAAATCAAACTTAGAGAAAATCTTAACATTGCATAATCGAGATAATAAATCTTTTTTATTCGGGATTGGGTATCTAATCCATTGCAATACTTTATTTAAAGATTTATAATTAATTACTAATCTAGGAACTTCTCGTTATTTTTATGCAGCATTATTGACATAAAAAGTTGCACAACTCCATGGTGAATAACTTTTTCTAATTAGCGATTTTTCTATTAAGGAATTAATTTCCTTTTTACATAACTCCAAATATTCTTTATTCATTTGAGTTGGCCTAGCCTTAGTCGGAATATCTTTTTCATTGAATTCTTTGATATAAGGTAGAGTTACCAAATATTTTTTCCTATTCCAAAAGGCAATAGGAATTGTATCACATATTTCTAGAGTTATTTTTTTTTTCAATTTCTTTTATTTTTTGCCTTGTTTTCAGGGGAATTAAGCTTATCAGATAAACTCAAGATTTTTAAATCTTCTTTTAAAAAATTTAATTCATTTTCTTTATAGATTAAATCTTCTTTTATTTGATTTATTATTTTTATTTGTGGTAGAGTTATAAATTCAAACAATATTTGTTGACCATTTATGGTAGTCAAAATTCCTTTAGAGTGAATTCTCTCTATAGGTTCAATTAAAGATAAAAATGGTGTTCCCAAAATTAGTATTTGATTTAAATTATCAATAAGTATAAAAGTGGTAGAAATACAAATTCCTTCATTACATATATAAACATTAGAAAATTTAAAGTTTATATTTAATTTTGAACCATCAGCAGTACTTACTGACTGAGTAATTTTTTCAAAATATTTAGTCAGAATTAATCATGTTTTTATGCAATTCATAACTACTCCGCTGTCAATTAAAACAATTGTTTCAAAAGTAAATTTAGAATTTATTACTAATATTATTTTAACATATCATTTCTGATAAGTTATTTTTTTTAATACATTTAAGTATTCATTATTAGAAAAGTTTGATGGTTTTATGCCATCTTCTTTAATTGGTAATTTTTCTAAAGTTAAAAGTCTTTACTTTATGACTTTTATGTCATCTTTTAGATATGAATCTCTTTTCTTAAGTCTTGTATCGTAGTGGGAGAAATCTCTTTTAGATATGGTGGATTATAAATCATGCTTTCTGTCTTATTAAGGACTTTTTTTAAAGAATAAGACTAAGATATATTAGCTCATTTTTCTTCTGGACTTATTTCTAAATATTGTTCAATAGCTTTTCTTTTAAAATCTAGATCTTGAATTTTATCTATAAAATTAAGAATTAATGTTTGTGACTTAGTTAAAGTATTTATAATTAATCCATTCATAACCTTATAAAAATTGGGGAAAGGAGTTTTATCTTGCTTTTTAATTAAGCATTCGATAGACCTTTTGTCTTTATCTATAAATAATTTAGTGGAGTTGGTGGGTTGGCTTTCTTTGTTGGCTTTGTCAATATCATTATCCCTTTTATGAAAAGACTTATCCTCATAGTTACATTGATTGTGATTACTTGTAATAATAAAAAATTTATCTATTAGTTTTTCATTAATTTGTTGAATTTCAGGTTTAGATTGCTTTAACATTTTTGTTTAAGACATGTCATTTAGTTTTTTCTATAGTTCATTTATAAACTTGATTTCTTCGGCATCGGGAAAGAAAATTTTAATTTCATTTAACTGATTTACATTAGAAGGAGCTTAATATGTTTAAAACCAATTAACGAAAGTAATTATTCTTTTTTCTCTTTCTATTTAAAGTTACAACATTTTCTTTATATCTTTTAAGATCATCTTGGCTCATAGTTTTAAAATATCAAGTCCTAAATTCTTCATATTTGGGAAGGTAAAATTCTTTATTAATTTCTTTTCTATTAACAATAAATTTTTTTTTGTGTAAATCCATAAAGACTATAGTTGAAGTCCGATTTCAGATGAAGTTGGATCAGTATCTTCTTCTAGAGAAGAGTCATTAAAAGTTTCTTTATCTTGTCTATAAATTCCATGTGGAATATTATTTTTTGAAATTTTAATTCTTTCAATTATGAGTTTTTTATCTCTTCTTCGATTTGGGACCGAAGAAGTAGATTTTCTAATGAGAGTATAATAAACTGATGAAGTTTTTGATTTATTAGAATATTTTAAACAATTTATAGAATTAGTTCTAGCAAATTTATTATAACATCACTCTAAAATGATCCGGCAATTTGAATTATTTCTTCATTTATTTATGATTTTTTAGGAATTACAGACTTCAATTGTTAGCTTTCTAAAACTAGATTTCTAATCATTTAATAGTCTTAGGGGCTTCAATTTTATTTTTAATAATATTAGTTTCAATAAAAACTGTTTGTCGTTTATGATGACGAAGTTTAGCTTTTGGACAGAGAATATTCATAACTTTATAATATATTCTATAAATGAAAGACATTATATCTGTTTTATCTTTATAATTATATCCATAAGTTTTAATATTACATGTCAAAACATCTAGAATATTTTTATCTGATAAATATACAGAAAGATTAGGAAAACAGTTAAAATAGATTGGATCAATACTTAAGCTAGATTACATAACACCTATTAAAGACTGATCAAAATCAAGACATCTAGCATCCCTTAGTGCTACCATAGAAGAGACATTTAATCTTTGAATAGTTAATGGTTTTAAAGCAACTTGAATTAATTTAATATGCAAAAATTTATAATTTTTTTGAGCCTTTAAGACTTATTTTTCAGTTAAAAATTGTAAAATATCTTTATTTTGATAAAAAAGAATAGTCATTTCAATCATTTTAATTGTTAAACTCAATTTAAAAATCAAAAGTACCAATATTATAAATTTTCTTAGTGCGGTACCGAGATATATCCCAGTTCTACAAGTTATTTTTAATATCAAAAAGTTCTACTTTTTTTCATATTTTTAACATAATCATCTTTAAGATTAAATTTTAACTTAAATAAGCTTAATGCTATGTTTGGTAGATAACCAAGGGTTTTCTGTTGACTTATATACAGTAATATTAAAAAAAAAAGTAACATTCAAATACAAAAAAAAAAATCATTTAAACACAAAAAATAATACAATTTAAAAACAAAAAAAATAGTAACATTCAATAATGATATTTTTTAAAAAATAACAATAATAACATGTTTAACAACAACAGTAACATACTTAACAAAAACAGTAACATGCTTAACAAAAACAGCAAAAATCCTCAAAAAAAAAAAATAGTAATATGAAACATTGAACAAAATTGAAAATAAAAATAGTAGCATTCAAACCCATAATCAGAGGAAAAACATCCAATTCATCACCATCGAAAAAAGTAACACAGAAAAAGTAATAACATGCTCAATAAAAAATAGTAACATGGTTAATTATAAAAAATAGTAACATAAAAAAAAAATAGTAACATGATCAACAAAAAACGTAGTAACATGAAATATTGAAAAAAATTGGAGATTATATATCAAAAAAAATAAAAATAAATTGGGGTTCAAACTAAAAACAAATTGAATAAGTTTTTCAACATTTTTTTTTCGAAAACCAACGATATAGAAGTTCATGATGACTAGAACGCAGTAGAAAATATGACAGTTGTTGATGATATCCCAAACCCTACTGATTTGATGCTATGAAGGAAAAAATGATATCTAAGGAGAACGGTTTGTTGTACTAGAACGATGATCTTCTTCTAACGAGAGAAACTATAAATTTCAATTTCAATTTAGAAGTGAATTAAGAAATAATAATTTTTAATTTAAAAAATTAATTTAAAGTTACTTTTAAGGCCTTTAAAATTTCTATAATTGAACAAAATAACATTATTAAAAGTATTTATGATATTTAAAAAAATAGTGTATTTAAGTACTTATTAGTAAGATAAAAAATAAACTTATCACAAAATAAATTTCTTTATGACTCAAGTCATTATAAGTCTATTAAGGAGAATTCATTCCCAATTTTCACAACCATTCAACTAACAATTCAGAACATAAAAATGAATTGCTCAAATGAAAATGAGAAGTGATTTTTAAACTGATTACAGGTGTTTGTTTGATTATGTTAAATGTAATGGATCCGTCTGAAATTTACTTTTTTTTTATGAAGACCCCTCCCCCCCATCTCTCTCTCTCTCTCTCTCTCTCACACACACACACACACACAAAAAGAAACAAACAAAATCCCGCAGAAGGAAGATACTCATTTTGATCTCTCCAGATCAGAGGTGAACTGGGTATCGCAGATGCAGTGAAATTATGGTCAGTTCCTACTAAATCTTCTTTTAAATTATCTAAATAGCTCCGGATTTTCCCCATTTAATCTGTCGCATTTTTTGATCCGAATCACATTTGTTTGCGCAATGTAGGTTCATTTAACCTGCATTATGAATGATACTAAGAACTTGTGGGAAATTTTTAAGAAAATTATGCCTCTACATAGTTCATGTTCAACTGGGCATTGACTGTTTGGTTTCTGATTCAGAAATGCAAGAGATTCTGGTTCGGCAGTCAATTGGATTTACTTGCTATTGTGATAAACCAATGGGTACATGTATTACGTACATTCTTTAACTCTGAGAAACTGTACTTTTGAGTGGCAAGTACCATTTCACACGTACTGTAAATATGCCTGAAGTCACTACCATCTAGAGGCTAGGTCACATATTTTTTGTAAAAAAACCTGGGATTAAACAATAATATCACAATTCCGAAAAGTCTGGCAAATATGTTGTTGCTCTGAGGGCTCATAATAATGCTACTAGGGCGACGAATTGGTGCCTAGAGAAGGGAATATGGTATCTGGAAGCTTAACAATGGATCTTATAGTATTTTTGTTGCTGGTAAGAAGTTATGTGGGCTGGCCTCAAATGGGGATCAATTACTCCAGCTTGTTGGAAGACCTTGATGCCAATCAAGAGGTGCGTACTAATGGAGTGATGAATTTAGTTTGAAGTAAGACATTGCTGCCTGTCAAGAGCTTTAGGAACACATGGAATATTTTTCCCTTGGCAGTTTGAAGCCCCAAAAAGGTATCTAAATATGGGGCAGAGGGAGTTTTTTCATTATCACTTTGATATCCTACGCCTTCACAATGTCACATGTCACTGTCATGGCTGCTATTTTGGTGAATTCTGTCTTCCCTATTGCTTAATATTTAATAAAGACCAAGTGTTCATGGGTAAGACCTTGATTGTTACTGATGTAGTGTCAATTCATAGTCCCTGCATCTGAGTTGGACTTAAGTGTTCCTACAAGTGTTTTTCAGTCAAAAACATGTATCAATCCTCAAACACTGCTTTAGTAGAATGGAAGACCTGCTAAATTTTGAAGATTCTTTGAAATGGGATTGACCATGTATCAGACAAATCACGATTCTGGCTTATAGGTCTAAGCATACTTATGAAAACTATGGCTGAACTCAGTTTTTTGGTGAATGCAGTACAGCCAAGTTTTAAAATGTAGAATAGAAAATTAATTTGCAATAATCAACACGAATGGATCGGTGATTTGGTCTAGGTATTGCTTAGGAACTAAACCTCTCTTTGCCTCTCTAGGCTTCTCTTCTGCATGTGGTGTGGGTGATGGATTCTTCCCTAAGGTTTAGTCTTGACTTAAATGGGTTTCAGACATCTTGATGGTGGCAAAAAGTAAATTATGAATGAACTTAATCACAATATGGTGAAGACTTTTAGAAACTTCACTGAGTTAAATTTTGAGTTTCTTAGCCTCTGAGAAGATTTAGGAGTTGGCTCAAAGCATGCCTTAAGTGAATTATAACCACACGTAACGGTCAATAACCATACTTAATGGCTTGTAAAGTTGCATTAATTCAGGTCTGGCTTTGCGCGCTGTGTTTACATGATTTGTGGCTATAGGCTGTTGAGGCAGCATGTGTGGACTCTAATAACTGTTAGCTTAGGTGTAGAAATCAGAGAATGAATAGCTAATGAATGTTGCATGTCCAGAATGGACACCTACAACCTCCTTTAATTGAAGGAACTTATGGAGAGGACCATTTGATATGAGTAACAATGAGTTTTCTTCCACATATATAGTTCAGTATATCTATTGTTTTCTTCTCTTTTATGAAAGAAATCTTCCAACATATTTCAGAGGTAGATAATTCACATATGGTTTTATAATAAAATTGTGATTAGATGCCAATATTTGAGAAAATCTTTTGAGATCCTAATCTTAATTATTTAAATGTCAATAACAACATCTAATCTTTAATATCTCCCATTAAAATTCTCATATCCCTATTATTATATAGCCATCCTCCACTAAGAATTCAAGGGATTACTCTCTCACATGTATATAAAAAGGACAAAAAAAAAAAAAAAAAAAAAAAACTAGTGTTAGGGAGTCACAATCTACTTCAACCTAATTGAAGCTTATGCCTTTAATCCCGCCTAATGCTCCTGCCAGAATATAGCTAGCACTTCTTCTGGTTTATGTTTTCACCTGATCATTTAGGTCCAGGAAATTATTTGATATTCTCATCATTCAGTCCCTTTGGAGTTTTGATAGGAGTCCTGTATCCCTCTGTGCTTAATTTAGGTCTTGTCTCCTAGAGCCTATCTTTTATCTTCATCATATGTGTTTTGTGTAGGAAAAAGAAGCAAAGAAGGAAGTTTTTAGGAAGTACTTGGAGTCTAGTGGAGTTCTTGATGCTCTGACCAAAGGTTCTGCCTTGGCTATATTTAATTTCATGTGAATTAAAGAACTAGAACTTTCTGACTAATACATGAAATCAATTTATTGTTCCTGAATATATTGCTCTAAATTTATTTATGGATCCTCTTTGATTGTAGTTCTTGTTGCCCTATACGAGCAGAATGACAAGCCTTCTTCAGCTATTGAGTAAGCCCATTTCAATATCTGGTTTCATCATATATTACTAAATATGTGTTACACAATGTGTGCCTTTGTTTATAGATCCCTTAAATTAACATATAAGCAAGTAAAGGGTAAGCCATTAAATTTAAGTAGTGATCTTTTTTAGTGAAGATTATTGAAAGACTTTCTTGGGGAAATTCTTAGCATGCCTCTGTTGGGATGATGTGGATAAAGGACCAAAGCAATTGGGCACTCACAGCACATTGATATACTGAAAAGAGTAGAAATTGTTATTTACAGCATATCTTAAACATTTCCTGTACTGAGTATTTCTTTATGCATCACAAATAAAGCTATCTTATGAGATCAGCACATATAATGTCACTTCTATTTTTGGTTTGACAGGTTTATACAACAGAAATTAGGTGGTCCAACAGTGTGCGAATATGAAAATTTACAAGCTGAGATGTCTGATTTGCAAATAAAATATTACGAGCTTTTGGAAGCACACAAAGAAAAATGCTGGGAGGTATGGCACATACTATTTGCAGTTTATCAGTTGTATTGGAAAACAATGAAGAATAAACTGGTGGGACAAGCTTTGACACATACTATACGCAGTTCATGTATATTTGATTAAATAAGACTTGCAAGATTTCAGAAAAAATGCCATGTTACCAACAGCATGGCCTAAGTATCTCAAGTCCTTAGAGTTGGACGATATGGCAGTTCAACAGTATATTTTGTAGAACTTAAATACTGAGTGGGCGTTCCTTTTAATGAGGAGTTTAATCTGCGTATATAATGAATCTCTTTTTGTAAGGTAAAGCTACCAATACATGATGGCAGTTTGTCATACCTCCAGTAGAAGTTAACATTAACAACCCACATCACTCAAGCGGTAATAACATTGGAATAACTGGTGCAGGTTACAACTAATACTTTTAGTACACAATATACTAATCATTTAGTTTTTAACCTTTGTATCTTTATTTACATTGACGCGAGACTACACAATATTTCTCTTGTAGTAATCCATCAGTATTAATGAAGGACCTGGGATAATATTTAATCTAAATAAGTGATGAAGAAAAACGTACATTTTCTTATTTCCTTGAATCCATAGTTGCAATAGTTTATGTCATATTTACGTTGAAAAGGGAAACGATTGGACAGAAAATGAGGAAGTACTTAATTATAATCAATGAGTGTAATGTTCCAAGAGGATGTAAGTATTTCATCACTTCAATTCATTCTTGTTTGGCATAAGGATATTTTTTTTGAACCCCAGAAATGAGTTCATAAATTAAAGATGGGTTCTCTGAACTCATAAACAAACAACGAGCTCTTCAGCTCATAAAGATGAGTTCTCTAACTCATAAACTCAGAAAGTTAGACTTTGTACTTAGAAAATTTTTGCTTCCAAGGGAACAAGACTCCCCTCATAAACAAGGGGGTAGAGGAAGGAAGAGAAAATCTAAGCAAAAGACGTACAAATTACGAAAAGTTCTGTTTTCATTCATTCTGATCACAAAGCAAAAAGAAAAATTACAAAACACATAAGCAAGACCCCAAGTATCTGCACCTGGATCTATAGTTTCCTTAGGAGCATGGAGCAACTCAGGAGCAGTCATTCCTTTGGGTAGGACTGGAGTTAGAGGGAGGTCAGTTAGAGCGGGGAAAGCCTCAGAAGAGACAAATGCTAAAACCTTAGCCTTAGTAGAGGCAGCTGAAGGCGGAACAATCTCAGGAACTCCCACCTCTACTGGGATAATTACCTCAGTTGGAATAGGTCCAGAAGCTTCAACAGCTGTTTCGGTAAGAACAAGCCCAGGAGTCCTGACTAGATCCTTGGCAAGGACAACAACAGAAGCTTCGGCCTCAGGAAGTTGTGATCTTGACTATAGCCTCCTTCTCTACAGCTTGTCCTTCTTTCTCCTTGTCTAGAGGGGGGTTGAAGTCGAAATCCTGATCTGGGTATTTATCCATGGCCTGCTCTTGGAAGACAAAATACTCTGTTGCCCAGTTTGTAGCAAATTCATCATGAAGCTCAGCTATCTTGGTATCCCTCTTTCGCACCTTGGTTCTTTCCACCTCAATCTCCTTTAACAACACAATATTGACCTCGGCTAACACCTTGTATTCATTGTTCACAGATTGAACAGCCTCACGAGCCTCAAAGATGTCCTTTTGTGCCAGGAACAAGCCATCCGTCTTGAGTTTGAGCTCATCGTTCTTCCTCTTGACCTCAGCCTCCAAATCCTTATTCACTCAGCTCAGACCTTGCATTTGGGCTTTTATATCTTGAACCCGAGCCTTCAGGTCATCATTGGCAAAAGTGAGCTCTCCGACCTTGAGCTTATAGGTTTTTCGATATTTTTGTGCAACCTTAACATTTTCCTCCATTGATCGGATCCAACCCACCAGGGCTCCCACATGGATCACCATCTGCAAAACAAATTGCAGATCAGTAAGATCAAACAATAAAGCATACGAGCACAAAATCAACAACAAGAGCTCTGAACTCAATAAAGCTGCTCCATATAGTGCAGTGGTAGCTGAGGTAGATAGAGACATCGAGGAGGCCTCTTGAATGTCAGACTTAGGGATAACAGACAAAATAACATTGGCAACAAGGTTCACATCCCTGATTAGTGAACCCTTGCCCTTGATTTCCTGATCTGATGAGCTCCTAGCTGTGCCAAGGAGCTATCGGTGGGATGCCTCTTCAGGTGGCTTTAAGGGAGAAGGGTCATATAGGAAAGGAGCAATAGACTCCAGAGCTCCAGACACCCTAGTTGATAAAGGGGAAGTCTTGGCCCCAACAGGTCTAGCAAGCCCAGGTAGGAGGAGACACCACCAAAGTCTTCTGGGGAAGAAAAACTCCTTGAGAAGAGGAGATTTTCACAGTCTTCACAGGCGAGGAGTTTTTTGGAGAACTGGTGGTGGTGAGGGAGTCATCTGAGAAGGTGGAGGCAAAGATGAGCTTACCCTTGGCATTTTTTGAGGAGGACCCAATTGGCTCCTAGATTCGACTTCAGCCTTGCGTTTTCCCCCAATTCTATCTTTTCTGAACTGGGCCACTTTGACCTCATTTCCTCAGCATCTGGAGCCATCGAGCTGGGACCTAAGGGAATGAAGTATGTAAGCCAGTAAAATTGATGAGAAGAAAGGATAAAACTAGGGATAGAGGAAGAAAGCCTTATCAGCAGAATCTTTCACACTGACCACCAATATTGGGATGAGAGTCTCAACTCTCACCTCGTGAGAACTAAACTCGAATTGAGTGAGCACCGAAGGTTTGATCAGCTCGGAATACTTCTTTGGATGACAATCCTCAAAACCTAGCTAGGGTAGCCTATCATCTACTCTGAGGTCAGGTCAAATACTTGAAATAGCCAAAGGTGACAAGATCAACTGGTGAAACGTAGGAATAAAAGTGTTAAGCTAGGCCTCCTCGAACGAGGACTTACCTAAATTATTAGGGCCAGACTAGGACCGGGGGAAGGTATCAATAACATCACTTGGGTCAAATTCCCATTCTTTGCTCGACACGAAGAATAAGAACTTCTTCTAACCTTTGTGGGAGTTAGGGAGGTCAGTAATTAAGTGTGGGGCCTTCACTCGTTTTGCAATATACAGAATGCCGTTAGCAGGTGAGAACTTAACATTGAAGTACTTCATGAGCAAGGGAACCGTAAGGGTGCCAAGCTCGTTCTTCTTAAAGAAAACAATGAGATCCACCAAAACGTCCTAGAAATTAGGAGAAGGCTGGGTAGACATTGAAATGTTGAAAGACAAACTTGAGAAAAGGGTGTATAGGGAATCTAAGGCCATTCTCGAGAGAGGCAACAAAGAAGCAGGTTTTTTCGGACACCTTAGTATAGTACCTAATGTCTACATGGGGACACCAGTAGCACATACCTTTACGAAAGCGAAATCAAGCAGAAATAATGCTCATAAAAAGGGGAGTGACCTCACTGAAACCCATAATATTTGAAGCTTGGGGAGCGGGCTCAGCACCCTCAGCACTGCCGGAGGTCCCAGCCCCGCCTTTCTTAGACTTCACTCTCCTAGACTTCTTAAATCTCAAGGCAGGACCTGGCATATAGACAAAGAGACCTCTACTCGGTCCTCGGTATTAATAGCATCGACGCCTGAAAAGTTATCTATCTTATTGCCCATATTCTCTAGATCATCCTCCTTAAGTTCGGGAGATCTATCACCCATGGCCAGAGAGACAAATGAAGTAGTAGCTTCAGACGAAGCAGACATGAAGGTGTGGAAGAAAGGAAGATTAAAAGAGGTGTAAAGAGAAGGAACGTTAGTAAAATAGCCCTCGAGGGCCTTGGGATCAAAACTCCAACGACCAAAAAGGAAGACCCTAGTAGTTGAGTAAAGATCTAAGAAGAGAGGAATGAAAGACAAGTAACGACTTCAACTCCTAAAGTAACATAAACAAAAAGTTCAGAATTAAAGTAACCGCCTCGAATTTGAGGGATGCAGAGTGAATAGAAACCCTAGAAGAAGGAAAGAAAGAACAAGGTAGATGACGTACCTAATCAAAGACGGTCAACAATTGAAGACCTGAGGTAGATTTAGGGAACGAACTGAGCTAGCTTCAAAGATACTCTAGAGCAAGTTTGGAGGTTTACCAGGGAAACCCTAAGTCTCTAGGAGATTGAAGAAGATGGAATCGCAAAGAAGAAGAAAGGAAAAAAATCTGAAAGAAGAATGTGAAGAGAATTCGAAATGATGAAGAAGGCGGTTTTGCTTGCAAAGGTATTTAAGGCAGGGGTACGAACGGACACATGGAGCCATTGGATGAAGGACGTGCGTGAGAAACGAGGTGAAAATAACTCATGGCACGTTTGCAACGTCGTAAAAATTGAGAAACGTCCCATCGTTCAAGTCCCGAGGGCCAACCAAGTTAATCTTGCTCACCAAGGTCAGAGGTTAGTTCCAGCCTAGGTAGTTTACCTGATTGAGGGCTGGGGGGATAACTGATGATACCTTAAATATTCCTAAGGTTGAGCTCGGGATTTCAGCTCAAACCCTCTAAGCTCAGGCCACTCAGCCCATCACCGATGACTAGGGAGCTTGTGGTCGGTATCTCCTCAAAGTCTCTGAAGACTATAAATACAAGGCATATCTCTCACGACAAAGAACAAGCATCTAGTCTAAGCAATGCCCTTTGTAATCTTCTCCTCTTTATCAATATAATCATTCTAGGAGCAAGAAACTCTTTTCAAAGAGGATTAGTCGAGCTCCCAAGCTGGTGAACTATAAACTCTCTGTGTGCAAACCCCCATTCCCCTTTGTTAAATTCTTAAGAGCCTAGGAGCTCCGACTGAGCTATTCAGTGATCTACTAATCCCTAAGCTCCGTTCATTTGTGTGACACCAACCATCATGAACCATTCTAAGATTATCTGAAAATTATTTATTGTTAAGATCTACAAAATATAGTACAACTATTGAAATGACATAAAAATGATGTGCTTGAGAGCTACATGCATCACGTACACCAATTGCTGAGTCAGTGCAGCTTTTCATTGGGTTCCTTTTTATCAGAATACTCTGTTTTGGCAATGGCTGTAGCATACAAGGGGAAGACAAGGAGTTTTAAATCTGAAATCTGAAAATCATTAGGGGCTGGATAGATGTAGCATAGCCAGGGAAGAAACTGGTTTTGTTTCCTTTTCTCTTTCTTGATGTCTACAAAAGCTTAGCATTCCTCTTGAAGAGTTATGTCAAACTATATTATGGCTAGTTTTATAGCTGCATCAATATTTTCTATGAAAATAAAAAATTGAAAAGTTGAAAATACATTTGAACTGGAGATTGTTTAAAGCAATATTCCTATTTTTATGAGTTGGATCACTGAAGTTACCATTTCTTCCCAAAAAAGATACAGATAACTCCACTTCAATGAAGGGG